CAGGTGGAAAATCCCCCAAACCGCTGCCCACAACGCAGAGGAGGATGAGCGTATGCTGAAAGAGTTGTGCACCCCCCTATCCCTCTTTGACACATTCAGGCGAAGCCACCCCAAAGACARAACGTTWACCTRCATCCAGAACAAGGACYACACCAGGCTGTCCAAGTCACGGATCGATTTGATCCTGGCATCAGAAGAATTAGGTGGTGGGCTCTCACTGACGGCAATACTCCCGTCCAGCCCATTTCCTGGCCTGGATCACAGGATGTGTATGGCGGTCTGGACATTTCGCAAACGGCCGGACCGAGGGGCCAGCTACTACAAACTAAATACCTCTCTACTCAAAACCAAATCCTTCAAGCAATACCTCCAACAAGCCTGGGAATTTTGGCGAGACCACCGCCCCCAACATGAATCACAGATCAACTGGTTCAATAATGGCCTATTCTTCTTGGCAAGGAAGTGCAACGACCACTCCAAACATCTAGCCACTCAGAGACACCTCCAGGAAGTCACAATCATGCAAGACTTCGTAAGTGCAGAACAAGAGCAGAATTTGGCACACTCGCAAGGGCAGGATCAGCGGATCACCGACCTACAAACCCGCATTCGAAATTTAAAAGACCAACTTTTTCAACATGCACAATATAGATGGCAAAGGGCCCAAATAAGGGTCAGGCTATCCAAATTCTCCACGGAAGGAGTAATGAACTCTCTTTTTTTTGGCTTGGCTAGAGTACGCTGCCAACAAACCGTGATAGAGGCTCTATACGAACCGAACGCCAGGGACTCGGACCCGGCCGTATCCACAACCCGCTGTACAAAGATAACCTACGATTTCTACAAGGAGCTCTTCTCCTCACACCTTGACAAGTCAGATCCCCCACATCATAACCGACTCGTCCAGGAATTCTTGGAACCACTTAACAAGACATTAGCGACTGAACAACGGGAAGCACTAGAAACCCCGCTCTCCAAAGACGAGAGCGGGGAGTCTGCCCTCCAATGGTCCGCCCCCCTACAAATGAAGGAGGATAAGTTCCCCGGGATAGACGGCTTCCCCAAAGAGGTTTGGGAAGCCATCTGGGAGTTCATGAGCCAGGACATTATGGACTTCTATAACGAAGTCTGGCTCACAGGGGAGATGAGAGAAAGAGTGGGGCAGGGGATACTGACTCTCCTGTATAAAAAAGGAGACAAAATGGATATAAGAAATTATCGACCCATAACACTGCTTACGGTTGTCTACAAAATGTTGTCCAAGGCCCTGACCAACCGAATGATCCCAGTAATGGAGGATATCATTCATCCGGATCAAACCGGTTTCATGCAGAACAGGAACATACAAGAGAATATTTTGCTAATACATGAAATCCTCCAACTCACGAAACACTCACGCCAGAATGCAGCCCTCATCTTTATCGATTTTGAAAAGGCCTATGATCATGTGGACGGGACGTTCTTAGACAATTGCCTCGAAAAGATGAACTTTGGGCATGGCTTCAGACGATGGATACAAATCTTGCACCAAAACGCCACCACATGCGTCCAAGTCAACTAGAACGATCAGTCAGACAAGGGGACCCTATCGCCCCTTTCCTGTTCCTGGTCATAATGGAAGCACTGGCAGCCAATCTTCGGGCAAACAGAAACATCACCAAACTACGAGTTACACGCATCCCGGAGGAGGCGCTCCCGGTGTGTTCCATCTTTGCAGACGATCTAACAATCATTGCAGAGGCCACATAACAAAACATGGAGGAAATCCAATATATGATGGAGAGATTTGCTAAGGTTTCCGACACGTCGGTCAACTGGGGCTCCAAAACCCAGGGTTGGTGGATCCACTATCAGGGGGGACGCCCCCCGAAGGCTCCACGTATAGCTTGGGTGCCACTGGAGGCACTAGTAAGGGTCCTGGGAGTCTCCATAACCGCAGAAGGGAGACCGCTTACTAATGATGAATGGATCAGCACCCCGACATGGCACAAATTAAATACTTGGAAAAACAAACATACATCACTCTTTGGTCGGGCCTTAGTTCTCAATAACGTTGTCTTCGCATCGCTATGGTACAAGTCCTTGCTATGACCTTTAAGCAAAGATGCCTTGAGGGCCTTAAGGCAAAAGGCTGCAGCCTTTCTGTGGAGGGGAGATGGAGAGCAAGCTAATGTGATCAGCCGAGTGGCCTAGGACTCCATTATCCAGCCAAAGGTGGGAGGAGGCTTAGGGGTTCTAGACCCGGCTACGCAGGTGAAAGCCCTACGAATCAAATGGATTAAGAAACTCATCTTTGCCCCCCAAAGCCCATGGTGTGCCTTAGTCCTGGAGCATCTTGCACGACTAGCCCCAACCACCCCCCGGACAATCCACCCACTCACTTGGTTAGAAGACCGTTTTTGGACAATCCCGCGTAAACTCCCGGACGGAAGAGAGGGAGCAGAGGAAGGAGGGGGCCAGCCACTTGACAATTTTTGGCCATCCTTGTTGCAAACCTGGCGCAGTCTCCCGCTTCCAGACAGGACCCAACCCGGCCGGTGGGAGGAAGTCTACCGGCAGCCCCTCTTTGGAAACAGATGGATAACAGACACGGAGGGCCGCGTAAGGATAAGTTTAGTCCCGCCATGGAAAAATTGGGTCAAACATGGTATTCTTAGGGTGGGGGATCTCTGGGACTCTGACCGACAAACATGGAAGACGGGGGACCAGATGCGGGACATCTTACGGTATTGTCATCGGGTCGAAGAGTCCTTGGAAAACCTCATTGAAGACATTCCGCTGGAATGGTATCGGATCCTCAGGAGAGGCCCTGACTTGAGAGAGGGGGACTGGGTGAGGATCACAGAGACCCCGCACCAGATTGGTGTGATCCACATGGTCTCCCCTCAGATGATCCTAATCGAATATAACACTATCACAAAATGAAACACCCTCCAAACAATAGAGGCACCCTTCGAATGGAAGAGTAAAACAACAGTTAACAGGGTGAGAGTCTTGGAAGAAAAGGGACAGAAGGTGGCCTTCCAGCCAGACATACCAATCCAGGACCTGCCCATGGACCCAGCAGAGTGGGTATGGCAGCCCYCCCGACGGAGGGCCCCCCCCGGAGCAAGTCACATTAGTCTGCACTTCCTGACGGTCAAATCAGCCTACAAAATGCTCCGACCCAAACGCCAGCTGAGGGATACAATCAATGATAGATGGGCCAGACATTTGAATCTTGACCGCTCTCTCCTTACACTGATCCAATGGTTCAAGGAACACAAGCATAAGCCAATGAAAATTACCTCGCTACAATGGCAGATAGCCCACCGCTGCCTGCCGATGAACGATTGGTTGATCGACCGAACAAACCTTGAACAAAGAGGACTGCTGCGTCCATGGTGCCAGAGATGCCAGAGCCTCTTCCCCTTCCACAAGAAGGCAAAAATCATCGAACATATCTTCATGCAGTGTCCGATCGCTCAGTTCATATGGAGGTGGTGGGACCGAATCTGGAGGAAGATGGAACCGGGTATTCCCTGGCCCTGGTCATGGCAAACCATTCTGGCAGGACATTGGCCCCAGGCAGAAACTGCCACGCCCTTCATCGACAACATGTATAGAGTAGGTAGGAGGGCAGTGATGTGGGCACTCTGGTGGCAAAGATGCACCCTAACCATGGAAAAGGTACGGGTAGAGGCCGTGGAGATCATAGAACAAATCCAACAACAATTACACTTAGAACTCACACGTAGGTGGTTAGATACAAAGGAACAACAGGACCTTTTTAAACAAACAAAGGATGTCAGGAGAAAGATAACAGAATTTTGGAAGGACTGGGTAGGTGGGGAAAGGGAAGGTTGGATTGCAAAAGTAGTATGGAGTGGGGATCAAGAGAATGGGGTAAAGGACTTAGAAACAATGAGAGACTACCGGCTGGTTCTCAAGGACTGGACTAACATTGAGGCCTCATTCCCATTACGGCCCCCCACAGATTTCCCGGATCCCTTCCCCCCCCATGCCCTGTCACTGACAGAAATCCTGACCTGAAAGAGAAAATGATATCCTGCCCTTCCCCCACCTGACTCCAGCCTCCTCTACGCCCCCTGACTTATTCGTCCCTCCTGGCCATGCGAGGAATCCCTCCCTGGAGCCCCCTGGGGAGGTCCCCGCTAGCTAATCACACCTGCCAACTCCACTGACGCAGCCGGCGGGGACAGTTGGTGCAAGGGGGGACTCTASAGTGCAATCAGGAAAGGGCTATTGCAAGAACAAGACGACAGCAAGCAGTCGGTTTACTGTATCAGTCCCGAATTTTCCATATGGCGCCCTCCCTCTGAGGGTGAAGAGATACATAGGTGACAGCAGGCCTTCCAAGGTCTACACAGGGCTGCTTAACCAAGGTTGCTCTTTTTTGGTCCTTACAAGCACCTTTGGCCTTCACACAAGCTTGCTCAGTCAATCCCCTGATTCTGAAGGGCAATCAATGCTGGCAGGTCCCACAGCCACGCACGGTCATCGGTTGCAGCATTATCCAAAAAATTCTCCTCTTTGTAATATGGGAYGCTGGACCCGGTTTCCAGCAGGTGACGCTCCCCACCAATAGATGGAGCCTCTCCTCCGGTGCTAGTGCTGACTGCTCTTATCAGCAGCACCAGCAACGGAAGGGGTTTAAAAAAAAAAAAAAAAAAAAAAAAATGATGACGACGTCGAGGCGGCGGAGCGGGGTGAAGGGGGTGTTGGTGGGCAGGGTAGGGCACGACGCACAGGGTTTGGTGGTGGTCGTTTGTTTCCATCGCCTCCCGTACTTGAAGGGTGTGGCGTGACGATGATCGTCATTGCTGTCCACGAGCGAAATCGGCGGCACACACAGGCGGTCTGCGGTGGGCACGTGTGCGAGTTTCCGTGGCCACGGCGTCGGCGTCGGCGGGGAGACGCTTACCTCCGTGGACACATCCGTCGGGAGGGGTTGCAGCGAGCGAATCGTAGGCGTGTCTTGTTTCAGAGTCGGTGTCATTGGAGGCGATCGTGCGGCGGCGGGCTTTATATCGAGGTTGGAAGGAAGCGATAGAGGGTGGTGGCGAGGGTTGTCGTGGAGTGTTGTTGCTGACGGAGAAGACAGCAGTTGCAGTTGCCCCGCTTGCCGTCGTGATCCGCAGCCAGATCGAGAGAGCGGCAGGGACCATGAAGGCCAGGCTTTCCACGCGTCGGCAGAGGCTGCTCGTGCAGAGGGTGGTGGACACCCCGGATTGCATCACCACTTCGGAGGCTGTCTTCCAGCTCTGCACCACAATCGGGTGTGGTGTCGTTCCCTGGGCGACGCCTCGATGGTGGATAAAGCGTAGAATAGGGGGCACTTGGAAGGGCTTGCGGGTCTGCGATGATGCGAGTGAGGACTTCTGGGAGAAGCTTCACATGCCTAGGCGAGTTTTCATGGAGATCAGCGAAGCCTGTGCACCACATCTCCAACGACAGGTTACCTTCTACAGAGAACTGCTGCAGCCGGAGCAGATCGTCGTGTACGCATTGTACCGGTGGGTGACAGGAGAGACGTATAACAGCAGCACATCGTCGTTCGGCGTGGGGAGAGCCTCTGGACTTATCACGGTGTGTGATGTGACATCCGCGTTGCTTCGGGTGTACGCGGACAAGATATCGTGGCCGACTGGGGTGCAGAAACACGTCGTGCTGCGGGCATTCTTGGAGAAGGGCTTCCCGAACTGCCACGGAGTGGTCGATTGCACACACATCTACGTGGACAAACTGACGAACGCGCCCAACGAGGATTACTTTGACCGCAAACATCATTTCTCCATGGTTGCGCAGGTGGTGGTCGACCTCGATCTGCTCGTTCTGGATGTTTTCGTTCGATATCTGGGGAACTGCCACGACATCAGGATCATCCAGCTGTCCAGTTTGTCGAGGCGCGCAAAAGAGGGGATGCTGTTTCGCGGGTCATCTGTGACGCTGCCGGGCGGAGTGACTCGGAGAACCAACGGGTACATCCTCGGCGACAACGGGTACCCTCCTTCGGAATGGTTGGTGGTCCCGTACGGAGGAATCAATCAATATCCCGACGAGGAACGATTCGACACGAAGCAGAAGGTCGCCAGAGGGGCTGTGGAGAGAGCGTTCGGTAGGTTGAAGGGCATGTGGAGGTTGTTCCTGCGAACTCACAAGACGAACCTGGACACTCTGTCGCAGCAGTTTACCGCGGTCTGCATTCTGCACAACATTCTTCTCGATGCAAGGATCGAGTTTGACGAGAATCTGCTATGGGAAGTCGACCGGAATGGAGTGTGGCGACGTGTGGATTTGGGAATTCAACTTCCCCCCAAGCTTGTGAGCAATGCCACTTCAACGGACGAGGCTCTCATGTTCCGAGACGCTTTGGCGGAGCGAATGAAACACTTGTGATCCGCAACGTCACCATCGTTGGTAAGGCCCTCTCCTGCTACTTTGTGTGTGTGAACTGCAGGCAGCTCCTACGGGGGAAGCGGAGAGGATGAGCAGGATGGAGAAGATGCCGTCGATTTTGTTGGCAGCTGGCATGGACAGGATGATGGGCGAGATGAGGTGGATATGCTTAAACACGTCGCAAATCTTTGCGCGGTTTACGTGGATGGGGTGTGGGATGAGGAGCAGGGGTCCATGGCAGAGGCGGTGGTTGACTTGGATGTGGGGCAGGTAAAGGGTAAGGTTGGCGAGAAGGAGGCTGGCAACTACATTAACAACAACAGCAACGGTATCAACAACAACAACAGCATCAACAGCAAGAACTTTGATGGGAGGGTGGCGGAGAGGCGGTGGCTGTGGTGGAGGAGAGGCTGGTAATGGGCGAGATTGGTGACAAGGGTGGGGTGGATGACAACACTAACAACAACAACAAACAACAACAACAAACAACAACAACACGGGGATCATGGCAGAGGTGGTGGCAGTGATGGAGGAGAGGCAGGTGATGGGTGAGATCGGTGTGAAGGGTGGGGAGGCTGTCAATAGCAACAACAAAACAACAAAAATGACGGCAGCAACAACAGCGAGAATGATGGCGAGCAGGGGATGTGTGTAATAGGCAAGGAGGGTGTGGAACATGACAACAAAATCTACAATGGCGACGATAACAGCAACAACGACTGCATTATCAACAACAACAAAGGTCACAACAACAACAACAACAACAACAATTACAACAACAATCATGACGATGATGGCGGCGGTGAAGTCTTCGGGAGCAGCGGGGTACAGAAAGGTGATTGTGCCTCCAAACGCCCTGTCCGCATCAAGGGAGAGATGCCGCCAACAGCAAAGGGGGAGGGAATTAGGACCTTGTTAGGGTTCGCGAAGGGGGGTATGTGGCTGATGGGATTAAAGGCTGCCATAACGGTGGCAGGAGAGTAAATGACAACAATGACAGCAGCATCAGGAAAGTGGGGAGGAACTAGTAGCTTGGTTGGTCGGGTGAGGCCGGATTTTAGGTTGAAGGTGAGAACTACCGTTCCCCCCCATTCCTGCCCAGTGTTTCATTCTTCGTTTGTTCTTTTTTGGCACCGGCTGGGAGTAGGGTAGATGCTCTCCCCCTAGTTGATTAATAAGTGATTGGCTTTCAAATATCATGCCCTCAACTCGCATTCACGTGGCTTCATGAGGGGTTTGATGATTACCTTTTGATTTTACGTTTTTAATTTTGTTTTAGGGTGGGGTGAGCTACGTCTCTCACATGCTATCATCTCCACACACCATTGAATACAGGATAAATGCTTTATCAGCGGGAGGGTGATTCCTCCCCTGCGTAAGGAAGCAATCAATGCCTCTTCTCCTTTCTGCGATACAGGTGAGTTGATTGGATTCACGCACTGCTGTATAGGGATGCTGGACTCGATTTCCAGCTTACACAAGATCACATCACAATTAGGGTTTCAACTTCTGGTGTGATCAACAGAATTGGGCATGATGCCCTGCCCGCCATGGGACATGTTTGGGGAGGGACGGTAGGATGTGTCCGTGGGCGCCAAAGTGCCTTGCCTCCTGCTGGGTAGACTCTCTGATATTGGGCCTGTAGAAAAAAGATTGCATGACCCTGGCGTCCCAAGTTCCCAAACGGCAAGGTTCGTCCGCTTCCGCTTCCACTGGGGCTGGGGGGCTGCCCAGCGTCGGTGCTTGTCATTGCTGTCTGGTCCAAGTTGCCCTCCATATTGGTAGGGTGATGGGACTGAGTGGTGGTCACACTGATGTAACATAGTAGGGATAGAGGGTGCGCTGGGAGAATTAATCTGGGGAAGGGTAGGGAAGGTGGCCTATCCTGTCATGTCAGGACAACCATCGGCTGCTGCCGCCAGCAATCACCGTGGGTCTGGTCCTTGGCCTCTTCAACACCCTGGGCTTAAAAAAAGCCACGACAGCAGACAGCAGGCAAGGAGGTCAGGTCCCGATTTCCAGCAGGTGAAGCTCCCCACCAATAGATCGAGCAAAAAAAAAAAAAAAAAAAAAAAAGGCAAGGAGGTCAGGCAGAAAAAACTTCTTTTTTTTCCCCTTTTTCACGAACTCATTCTCGGTGGTTACCACAGTACTTTAGTATCCCTCGGAGTCGGAGGAAAAGTAAGGGAATAGGCCTGCTGGCGGAAGATGCCAATATCACTTCCCTAGTAGATTGGGGCTATTTCTTTTTTTTTTTTTAATTAAAAAAAAGAGGGGTAGGGGAAGGCCGGATGGATCCAATGGATGGGAGCATATAGAAACTGTACGCTGGGGCCCAGTCCTCAGTAGGTAGCGCTCCCCACAAATAGATTTGAACATGTACCTTTGAAAAAACAAAAAGAAACTCAGCCTTGGGCACTGGCTATTGTGGATGGAGCCTCCCCTAGGGTGCTACAGGTGGTTGCTTTTATCAACACCCGTAGGGCCGGTGTAGCGGACCCACCAGGTGTGGTGCTCCGCTAGTGACCGAGATGGAGATGGAGGAAGAAGGGGGAGCAAGATGGCACAACGCAGCTCCCCACACAAGACTCCAACGCACGTACTCCAAAATGTGCAAGTGAGGAATGAGAATGAAAATAGACAATGGCTGGGGTATACCCCAGCGGTTTGACGGGACTGGACTGGACTGGCTGGTACTGACAGAGGTACCGGCCTGGACTGGCCTACCCCGAATATAACACAGGCCTGTGAGAACAGGCCAAGGGGCTGGTCTCACAGGCCAACCCGAGGTCCGCTACACGATCCTCRGCCTGTGATGGATCGCCTAGATACAAACATGCTTCCRCCAAGAAGCGGAACTCTACCAAAGAAAAGAAAACCYGAATAGTCTAGGATGCGGAGCAAGCTCCATGCTGAGTCCATGCGATGCAACCTAGGATATAAAATGTCACAAAACAACAATGTCACAGCTAACAGCCTAAGTGAAAGTAGGAGCAACTAACTAACATACATGTCCTAGGAAAGCAAAAAGTAGTGACAACTAGATCCTAGAATGTAGGAGGCACTAGCCTCAGTCTGGTAACAACTGACTAGTGTATAAGTCCTAAGAACAACAAAAGCAGAACAACTAAATCCTAGAAATGTCGGCCTCAGTCTGAGAACAACAAAGCAATCAACAAGACAACCATATGTCACATGAGAAGTGTGTCGCACACCAAAGGTTGGGATGGTCTCTGAGGGTGGCGAATGCAGCCTAGGGGTCGAAAACTCCTAAGGGCATCCACACATAGTGACAGGGGAAAACACATGTCATCAGGCTCAATGAGGGTGAGGAACTGGGAGCGAACAGAACCAATGACCCTAACAGATAGACCATCAGGGCGGGTAATGCTCGACTAAGGGGTGACCGCTATGGAGGGTCGACCATGCAAGGGAACAAGGGAGCC